GCTGAATCTTCATATTTCGGAGCCAGACGAAGCGAGCATGCTCAAAACCGTCAGGAAAAATTCTCGGAACTTATCACGCATCTGCGTGAAGGCCGGTCCATGGGGAATACCTACCTGCAGTCTTTTGCACGGCATGGTATTGAGGATTTCGACTACACAGAATATATTTATGAAATGCCATTTGGAAGTCGAATCCCCTCTCTCCAGGAGCACTTTGTTGACGCCCAGGACCAGACGCCACTTCCGATCTGGCGACCTGAGGCTTTCTTCAAGTACCCTGACGGCGGTGACCTTAAGGAAGGAGAGATTCTCCGTTTATTGGAGCTCTTCAGATCGTGCCTTCTTGGAAAAAGAGCAGTCCTCGGTGTTGCCAAGCGCACTAAGGAGAACATCCATGAATTTCAGAAGGACACGTATCAGCTTGGCATTTTGACGTTGGACCTTGGTCACATCAACAGTATTCCGTATATCGGAGGTTGTTCAAAATTTCCAAAATGGGTCAGAACTGATATTAACCATCGTGCCTTGCCACATTTAGTGTTCCGTAATGCGGCCCATATTGTGTGCTTGTGCGAGGCTTCCGACGAATACGGAGGAATTGCCGTCCATCGAGAGCTTGCCGAAGAGTATGGGATGATCGGCATGGTAGTCCACCCGGCAATTCAATCACAGTCCGTTGCAATTTTTCTCCGTGGCTCACATGATGCAGGCTCATTTATTGAACTTTTATGTCAACACCAGATTGAAACAGAAAATCAAGATTCGCCTTTCTGGATTTTGCATGGCGCCATTTTTCGCCTTTGCCATGGCATGAATACGTCAGGAGAATTTGTTGACCCTTCTTCTGGCGCTCGTGTTCCGAAACCGGACATCGAGAAAAATGCCGAATCTGCGGTTTATCAGCATGATCGTCCACTTGCATCGACGCTTGATTTTCTTGATCACTCGATCTGCGAGATCGACGGAGACGATGATCTTGCCGTCTCCGGCGTGGAAGTCTGTGAAGTAAACCTTGGTGCTGACACCCACGACGTACGACGTCTCATGTTAGCCGAATGCCGTGTAGCGGTTTTTCATATTTCGTCATATGCATGGAGTGGTGCCTATCAAGAGACGTGCCAGAAATGGCTTCAATTTGTCGCAAGCTGTGTCGAGCACCAGTGTGACTTTTTGTCCGGCGACGGCAACCTTTTCGCACAGCGAAGTTTTAAGTCTGATGACCATTCCGATTTCCGGACATGCATCATGATCGACATCCTTGAACGCTTTCTCCAGCAGATCAACCTTCACCGCAGTCCGATCAACCGTATTACGTATAACGTAGTTTCATCGACCACTGCCGCTGATTACATCCGAAGCATGCGTGGAGAAGATGCTGATTGTGATTCAATGCTTTTAATTTCTCTTTGTTACGGTAAGCAGATCGCTGTCACGGAAGCACGTGCCAAAGAAGATTCCGCTTCTGCGGATGGATTCGCAGGATCAGCTTTCTCCGATGAAGTTATGCTGAATGATGTTGAACAGTTAAAATATTAGCTGGCATATGATCTTGGTTTGGCTGAGAAGGACTGTGGATGGCATTCACCTCTACTTACATATGCCCAGTTAAAATCATTGAAAAATATGCGCATCCGATCCAAGGAATCTGAAGATAAAAGACGTGAAAAATGGATGCAGAAAACTCAAGGATATCTCGACAAACGAGAAGAAAGGAGAGACAGTGTTCCGCCTTTGCGGACTGACTCACACCGGAATGTTGGACAGACTCGATCACGATCAGTCAGCAGGAACAGGAGTTATCGTTCAAGGGCAGAAACACCAAGGCCACCTCCTGCACCTGCAAGAACACCTGTAACACCGCCACAGGGTCCAACTGAAACTGCTAAGCCAGTTCGTTATAAGGCAGCTCCGGTGTCTCTCAAACAATCATCAGCACCGAAGTCGTCGGGATCCTCATCAAGTGCTCGGCCGCCTGTTAAGGCACCTCCAGTTCCGGCGCCCGGACGAACATTAGGTTCACAACAGCCAAGAACGCCACCCGATCCGCCAGGTCCACCGAAGACTCCACCGCCGTGGAGAGAGAGATCGCAGCAGGCCGACCAGAGGCATACAACCAGAAAAAGGCCAATCAACGTACCTGAGCCTCCTGCGCCTCCATCCCGCATGACGGGTTCGCAATGGCTTGACCAAGGAACAGCTTCCAGCTCTTCCGGGTACCGTAATTACGGTTACACTTATGATCAGCCGTCATACTATAGAGTGAATCCTCATACCTCTAATGTAGAATACGTCCCAGGGTACCAAGTACCAAGGCAGCGTTGGATTCAAAAATACGACGGATCGTGGCTTGACCTAATTCCGCAAACACCGGACCAGTCCATTTTCTTTCATCAGACCGGTGAGCTCAGAAGGAGGAACGAATTGAGTTTTTACGGTTACTATTTCACTATGGGCTTGTAGCCCCAAAAATTGCAATGTTCCGCATTTGCGGTCGCTTGCCAACAACCGAGAACAACCGCTTGCCAACAGCGGAGAGTAGCTTCTTGTACAATTTTGTTTTTGTCTTCGGACCGTCTCACAGCAGATCACAGGCTGAGCGCTCCCTGTGAAACAGATTTGCATGTTCCGACACGAAGAAAATTTGTGCCTGTTTGTGATTTCTTTTTGTTTACGTGTCTACACAATGCTGTCATGCATGTTGACATGTACACCTAATTCATATCTTTCATGCGCACTCCGCATGGCTCAAGACTAGCAACAGCTCGCAGCCTAGAAAAGAGTGTAGTCGCCGCTGCTTGACTCAGGTGTTTAGGATAGTGTTCCAGGGCTCCCCTAACACGGGATAGCTACCTCACCCCACCCCACCCCACCCCACTCCACTCCACTCCACCATTCCAACTCCACTCCAAACTCCTCCAACTCCTCCAACTCCCCTCCACTCCCTCCCTCCACTCCCTCCACTCCCTCCACTCCCTCTCACTCCCCTCCACTCCCTCCACTCCCTCCACTCCCTCCACTCCCTCCACTCCCTCCACTCCCTCACGCACGCACGCACTCACGCACTCACGCACTCACGCCACTCACGCACACACACGCACACACACGCACACACACGCACACACGCACACACGCACTCACGCACTCACGCACTCACGCACTCACGCACTCACGCACTCACGCACTCACGCACTCCACTCCACTCCACTCCACTCCACTCCTCCACTCCACCCCACTCCACCACACTCCACCCCACTCCACCCCACTCCACCCCACCCCACTCCATCAGTCAGTCAGTCACTCAGTCACTCAGTCACTCAGTCAGTCAGTCGGTCAGTCAGTCAGTCAGTCACTCACTCACTCACTCACTGGCGTTCCTTGCAAGTCTCCGCCACTCTGCCGGTGGCTTTTGCGTGGCAGGCGCGGCACTTGGTGCTCTGCAAGGGGTCGGATGTACGCGCTGGCGTCCCTCTCACTCTCTACTCACACTCACTCACACTCACCCACTCACACTGAGACTCACTCACTCGCTCACTCGCTCACTCTCACTCGCTCACTCTCACTCACTCACTCTCCCTCCCTCACAAACTCATTCACTCACTCACTCACTCACTCACTCACTCACTCACGCACTCCAATCCACTCCACTCCACTCCACGCCACGCCACGCCACGCCACTCCACTCCACTCCACTCCACTCCACTTCACCCCACCCCACTCCACTCCACTCCGCTCCGCTCCACTCCACTCAGTCAGTCAGTCACTCAGTCACTCAGTCACTCAGTCACTCAGTCACTCAGTCACTCAGTCATTCAGTCACTCACTCGCTCGCTCGCTCGCTCACTCACTCACTCACTCACTCACTTTTGCAAGTCCCGCCACTCTGCCGGTGGCTTGCTTTTGCGTGGCAGGCACCTGTGCGTGCACATACATACACACACACAAACTCACCCACCATCACCCCTCCATCACTCTTATACTTCCTCTTCCCTTCTTGCTTTTCTATGCTCAGTCTAAGTCTAGAGAAGTTGGTAACATGATGCAACATGTGGGGTTATCCGGTCCTATAATTTGATCGAACTTGGCACGGCAATGTGGCGGATGCTAGGCTTCACCCTCCCGAAATATTGGGAAGCCAATTCAATGTCCCGAGCTTCAGAAAATGGGATTGCCTTGTCAAGTCCACGGGTTCAGTCCTTCTTTTCCACATTTCAGTTGCTTCATCAGATCAACTGAAAGAAAACCAAGGCAACTTGCGTGCTGTTGGGCAAAATGAAGCAGGAAGGCCGCGGGACGGCTGAACGCCTTCTGGAAGGAGAAGGTCTACAGCCATGGCCAGAGCAAAATACAGCAGTCCTTGAAGCACGACGGCGAGCATTGAGCAATTTACGCGGCGAAGTGCAGAATGATTCTCACTACGGTGTCGGCGGGGAAGAAGTTGAAGAAGAAGCAACCGCTCTCGAGCGCCATGATGGTGTGCTACCTCAGCTGGGTGAGCTGCAGTAGCTATGTTAATATTCCGACCATATTCAGACGAACTGACACTGATGTGCCCGGGGAGTCGATGTGAATAAAGGATAAGCGAACAATTGAACCCGCTGCGCCGCTGGGTTTTCGTTTTGCAGGCCAGTTCACCCTTTTCGACTCCCTGATGCCACCGCAGCATTGACTGAACTGCTGCAGGGGTCCTATCGCCCCATGGTGTGCCCATAATTGGGGCGAGGCGAAGCAAGAAGGCCAAAGAAAGCCTCGCAAGCCTTGAAATTCTTAGAGCACTTCGGCGTAGCCAGAAGTGTTTGTATGGGTTCGCAGGCAGCGCAAGAGAAGATTTAGTTTGCCTTGCCATTTGGACTTTGGCAGAAGATTTTGTGGCTTTTGCAACCTTTCGTCATCTTTTGTCTAGTTGCTTGGCAGTTCTAATGCTCAACTCATGCAGTGCGGATCCTTTCGGCTTGCAGGTTTGATTGTCCTGTTAGGATGGTTTTGGCTGCGGCTTGATCAGGATGGAGACTCGCGCCTTCCTATCTTCAAGCTCTGGGGCTGCGCCCTTTGTGGGTGCGCCCTCTGTGCCCTTCAGTTTGCAGCCTTTGGAGTCAGGGTTGGCCTCAACTCACTGGGAACCCAGGCGCATCCGTCAGGGACAACTGAGCATCAGCCGCGGAGTCCTTGGCTCCCTGGCCGTGTTGGGACGAAAACGGCAGGTCAAGAGCCTTCGGTCCCAGAGCCGGGTTTGTAGAGCTGCCCAATCATTCACAAGTGAGTCAAATGCCGAAGGTGCACAGACAGCTATAAACGAAGCACTTTCAGCAGTGCAGCCCAAGAGTGGATTTGCCCTGCTGCTCATTCCACGCCGGCTCCTTTCAGATGCAAGCAGCATTGTGCAGCGAGCTGTGCAGAGCCTTGCGGGAGTGCAGGTTGTGGCTTGTGTCACTGGCGGGCCAACATTGCAGCTTTGTGCTTTAGAGTCACCTACTGGGCAGGTCCAGGCTTTTTCTGCTGATCCAAACACTATGGCAACTTGGTGATTTGGATTAAGTCGTCTTCTGCTGTGCCCCCTATTTCAACACCCATTTCAGTCATTTTCAACCCATCTCAATCTATTCCAGCACCCCATATGTGCCACGGTCAAAAGTGTTTATCCCCATATTGGGGGATCGTCATCAATCACCATCAATCCATGGATAGATATGGATACGGATAGGGATTTATGATTTATTTATACAACCAATAGTATGGGATGAATTACCACATCCCATGTGCCATCCTTTGATACTGGCAATGATCATCAATTATCAATCAGGCTCAATTGCATAGGAAGAGTTTGTCCAGGACAATGATTTGCAAGCAGTGTCCAGCTCAGCCAGCTGCGTTCTACTTTTCGGAGATCCTACGGTCTCTCCTCCTGCACTTGGCCGGATGTTGGATGCAGTAGGAAAGAAGTGGCCCAGCGGAACTGTTGCTGGAATGATGGTAGCTCCGGGCTCTGGAGCGTCTGTCTGGGTAAATGGTAAGCCAGTCAGAGGTGGCTTTGTGGGACTTGCTTTGCCTTTCAGGGCCACGGCAGCTTTGGATTTGGTAGGATGCAAGGCAGTTGGAGAGGAGTTAGAAATCTTTGAGGCATTTGTGCAACGAGGCAAGGCTCCAGAAATTATTCAAATTGGCACAGACCAGGAAGGAGACTACAGAGACGTGGCTGAAACTGAGAAAGGTACGGCGGGCATACCTCGGCGAGTGGGTATCCCAGCGGCAGCTGCATTGAAATCCGTGATGCAAAAGCATGGGACTCTGGGACTCTGACTTCTTAGAAAAGCCTTTAAAGGCACAATTCATTTCCTCTTTTGTTCGCTTTTCCTCTTCAATTCATTTCAATTCCATATCGCGATATCCAGGTCCATGAGGGAATTGCAAGACTAGCAAAGAACAAACGAGTAGGCAGGATGCTGTTCGAAGGATGGACATCATCAAGACGGGGCAACCACGTAAAGCATCGATGATACATGAAAATTACATGAAAATGACACGAACATCTAAGGATCTCTGGTCCGAAAGAGATGCTTGTGGGTCTGTCACGGCCCTCTACAGCTCCAGGGAGCCGACCGGGTCTACCGTCTTGCTGGTCCCTCTTCAACTGGGTTGGGGTCTCCAAGTCTGGAGCAGCAACGCTGGCAGGAGGTGATCCAATTACTGAGGGCTTGATGCCAAAAGGCGCCTTGCAATCGTGCCAATGCTTTCAGGCCGGTGTTAACAGATGTTAACAGTATTGTGCGCTCGAAAATCCTGAAAAGCCCTTGAGAATTAAGGCACTTAGATGCATGGTGGCATTGTTTTTTCTTGACAATTCCGCCAGAAGAAGATTTGAAAAAGGACATCGCATTTCAATGCATTTCACATGAATCAACTTTGTGGCAATAATTCATGCTTTTATTGTGTTGCAGTCAACGGCTTTGTTGCCGGTGGCAGCGTGAATTGCAGCTACAAAAAAAATATATGAAAATCGCAGCTTGGACAGGTGTCTCCAGCATCTGAAGGGTGGCAGGGTTTGGCTTCTCAAGGCGCTTCGTTGACATTGGCCTTAGCGGGCGGTCGGAATCTTTCACCACGGGAGGCAGCTGCCACCGTAGCTCCTGGTGGTCGGGCTGTCGGTGCCCTGGGAGTTTCTGTCCTGGGCAAAGCCGGTCCTCAGGCACAGTTGGCAGTCCATCGCCAAGCTGGTTTGGTGCTATCATTGTTTGGCTGATGCTGAAACCACATGATATTGAACGAGCATGATGTACAAGAAGCTGATTGGAAATGGGGTTCCAGCAACAGAATGCAACTGAACATTTTGGACATTGAAAGCCTATTCCTGTTCCCATATGCATTTTCATTTGGAACCCCAAGCAGTGTATATACTTTAGCGTTTTTTCCCTGCCATCCTGAGTCGGGCAGAAGAAGAGCAGCAGCCTTCCATTGAGGCTATTTCTGCTTCTTACTCTTTCTATATGTTTCTTACTTGTCATTTTTGATTTTGTCCAATTTTCTACAGACCGGAGAATTTATCGATGACAAATATTGAGATTCATGGCAGCAGGTCAGCAGATAAAAGGGGAGCAAGAGGATCTGAAGCCGCAGGGAAGGCAACTTGCATCTACTGTAGCTCTCTCTCTCTCTCTCCCCCTTTATCTTTCTCTGCTTGCGTAGGGCTCAAGTGCTCAAGAGGTTCAAATCCATTAATCTTTGTCACTGTCATTAGTGGATTGATGGCACTCATTTAGAATCTTTTATTCAATGGTTTGCTTTGGATGCTGATATGCTGCTTTGGAAGCTAAGCCCCCTGGCACGACCATAGAGTACTTGATTTGAATGCTGTTGATTGTACGAACAGGGCAGATCACGTGATCACGTGGACCTGCAGGCGCACAACATTGATGATGTTTGCATTGAGTCGCTCAGCGTGCCTGTGCTGTGATTGGCAAAATCTACAAAGCCTGTTTGCTCTTAGAATCTCTTAGATTTTTGTAAGATCCTGTGAGCAACTTGGCGCAGTGATGTACAGTGGATGTTTAGAGTTTAGAGTCTTCATTTCAAGCCTCTCCTCCTTTCTCAGAGTGCTCAGGTGAAGCTGAATCGCCAAAGGCTGGATCAGTCCTTTGGCAATCTGACAAGGCAGGAAAGAGTCACATCATGTTCTTCAAATCTTTCAGGAAAGCCTGGTGCTCGATCTTGCATTCCACATATTTCTGCAGGCTGGGAAATGAAATCGACCGAGTAAAAAGGGATGATGCATCACGTCTTCAGGAGGAGCTACGGCAGCTATGCTATGCTGTAGGGAAATTCGGACACGGCGTGACCTCTCCTCAAATCGTGCAGATAGAGCTGAGGATTGGCAGTGCCAGGATGTGCCAGGTACAAATCAATCATTCGATTTGCCAGCGCAGGTTTGAAGTTTTCTTCACAATACTTCTGCTTGTAATTTGATATAGATAATCAATCGGAAAAGTGAGGGTTAGTAGAAAACCGTGAGGGTCCAATGGAATCCTGATTGTACATGCACTCGCATGTTGCATCATTTACTGTAGTATATTGTAATATTGATTGTTGCCTTCAACTAGTATATCTATATAGAACTTAGTAGTGATTCACTTTTGGTACCAGGCAAGGCGGACGGTTCCGACATAGTTCCCGAATGAAAGCAACACAATTGCACTGCTGCTCGCATCAATTCGCATCATTTTCCCTTTAGGGACCAGCTAATCGCGAGGAGTACAAGCGGCTGGTCCAGGGTTTGCAACAAGCTGGGCAGAGACTCAGTGGCAATTTAGATCAATTTAGCGTATGGATGCGCATGGGTCCAAAGTTGTGCCCATATTTGGGTTTGGTCGGTTTGGTGCCATTAAAGAGACCCCTGACATCACATGACCTTGTGAAGGATCGATGATGCGATGGCTGACCAGCTGCAGAGCCCAGTCCTACCAGAGGATTTAGTCACGGAGGCCGTTCCCGGGAACCTTGACAAAGAAACATATAAAGAAACGAAGAATGAAAGGAAGCGCCAAAACGAGACTAAATACGAGAGTAGGAAAGTGACACCCGTTTCTCACTCAGATGTAAAGAAGAGTATGTACGCAATGACAATGATAATAGACATAGCTGAGGAACATCCGCCGGGCTGAGCATTTTGTCGCCTTGCTTCGACGTGGCTTGGGTTGTCAACCTCCTCTTCTCAACCACTTATGTGAAACGTCCACCCACTGGATACGGTATAATGCCCTCTAGTACATTGGCTTACATGTCTGGTTTTGCATTTTAGGGTAACAGTAAGTGTATGATATTAAATTATGATAAATTATGTATGTGCATGCATAATCATTTACGTATATTGTAGTATGGGCTAACGCCCTGGTCCCGCCGACCCTATTTTTCACAGGGGAGGGTCAGTGATTCATAGCTGGTACTAGCCTTTTCATGGCAACCTAGTTACATACTTTGTCCCTCCATGCTCGACAAATTCGCAGGGTTTGAGGTGAAACCCAAGGTTTGTGGATGAAAACCAGGGATTGCCAAATCACCACATTTCACCCCGCAGCAAAGAGGGCTATGGAGGAGGCAAACGGCAGGCTTCAAGGTTCTAACAACGAATGCCTGTCGCCAGAGTGCCTGGTCGAAGCTGCCGCGGATTTTAAGGGTTTGAAGCCTGGCAAACGGCAGGCTTGAATGCCCTAACAACAGGGGGCCATGGAGGCAAACGGCAGGCTTGAACGCTCTAACAACAAATGCCTGTCGCCAGAGTGCCTGGTCGAAGCTGCCGCGGGGGATTTTAAGGGTTTGAAGCCTGGCAAACGGCAGGCTTGAACGCCCTAACAACAGAGGGCTCTGGACGCAAACGGCAGGCTTCAAGGCTCTAACAACAAATGCCCGTGGCCAGAGTGCCTGGTCGAAGCTGCCGCGGTGGATTTTAAGGGTTGGAAGCCTGGCAAACGGCAGGCTTGAACGCCCTAACAACAGGTGCCTGGTCGAAGCTGTCGCGGGGGATTTTAGGGGTTTGAAGCCTGGCAAACGGCAGGCTTGAACGCCCTAACAACAGAGGGCTATGGACGCAAACGGCAGGCTTCAAGGCTCTAACAACAAATGCCCGTGGCCAGAGTGCCTGGTCGAAGCTGCCGCGGTGGATTTTAAGGGTTGGAAGCCTGGCAAACGGCAGGCTTGAACGCCCTAACAACAGGTGCCTGGTCGAAGCTGTCGCGGGGGATTTTAGGGGTTTGAAGCCTGGCAAACGGCAGGCTTGAACGCCCTAACAACAGAGGGCTATGGACGCAAACGGCAGGCTTCAAGGCTCTAACAACAAATGCCCGTGGCCAGAGTGCCTGGTCGAAGCTGCGGCGGGTGAGTCTAAGGGTTTGAAGCCTGGCAAATGGAAGGCTTGAACGCCTTAACAACAGAGGGCCATGGAGGCAAACGGCAGGCTTCAAGGCTCTAACAACAAATGCCCGTGGCCAGAGTGCCTGGTCGAAGCTGCCGCGGTGGATTTTAAGGGTTGGAAGCCTGGTAAACGGCAGGCTTGAACGCCCTAACAACAGAGGGCCATGGAGGCAAACGGCAAGCTTCAAGGCTCTAACAACAAATGCCTGTCGCCACAGTGCTTGGTCGAAGCTGCCGCGAGGGATTTTAGGCATGTGAAGCCTGGCAAACAGCAGGCTTGAATGGCTATGGAGGCAAACGGCAAGCTTGATGGCTCTAACAACAAATGCCTGTGGCCAGGGTGCCTGATCGAAGCTGCCGCGAAGCATTGAGGCATTTGAAGCCAACAAAAACAAGTTCCACACCTGCGCTGCACCATGGTCCCAGGCGCCGCCTTTGCCTTGGCGAAGGTCGGGGTCGGCGGATATGATTCCATCGCACTTGCATCAAAAGATGAAGATTATAATTCGCAATTGCAGCTGCCACACGGAACCACGAAACGGAAGCAGCCTCGAGGTGTTGTAAACTTCTTCCGACGCTACTTACACGTTGAGCGCGCACAATGCGAGGGCCCTCTCTCGATGTCGCACAAGTTGGAAGAGGATGCTGACACCTGACATAATCGGAATTCTAGGAAAACAATGGAAGACATGGAAAATTAAACCTGCTAATGTTGCCTCATGTTGCCTCATCTAAAGCTTTTAATTATAGACCTACTAGACCTCTTTTATGCAGGGCCTCATTGGCCCATCTGGATTTTCCAAACTTGTGCGAAGGTTCATGCTAAGGTCTCATGACTCTCATGCTCATGAATTGTATGTTCTGTGAATTTTTGGTCCAGTTTGGTCTGAGGGTCTGACCTTGAGATGAGCAACTTATATGAGCCTCAAGATGCACCACAAATCGTATCAAATCGTAATTTTTGCGAACCGAATCTTTGTCCCAAGGAGGTTGACTCCAAGTCATTGAAATTTTGCCATGAACGTCTTCGCTCTTTGACACTAGGGCTGCAAGGGGCAGGGAGCTACTGCAACATACTGATTAGCAGACTAGTGCCTCTATCTTTACCGTCCGTCAGTACACACACGCGATATCGAATCATATTATATACATAGTTACTGCATAATAAATAATGATAGATGGAGGTCTGGTATGGTTTGTCCAGTTTGACTCAAGAAGGGTCCTTCGTCATGGGTGTGATTTCGCACACGCTTTTTCCAAGTTTGTTTTTCTTGCACCATTTTGCGCGAGGTTGAATACCCTGCAGGTGGCAAACTTAGACGAATTTACTCCAATCACGAAGGTTGCGGACTTCGTCACTCTGCTGGGTACATATTCTCAGGGTTTTACGATTATTGTGGATCCCTATCCGGAGGCACAAGGCAGCTCAGCTGAAAACATAGCAGCATCATGCAGCTTCTACCCTTCGTCCATGTCTGGTGGGATTTTGTGTAAGTTCAACAGCATCCTGCGCCTGTCTGAACATGAGGTATCTACGACCCAACATTAATTCTGACACTTGCCCTATTTGCGCTGAATATTTGCAGAGGTGTTCCTTTGTTGCGTTTGTGCGCACATATCTGGTTCTCGGTTCAGTGCTCCAAAATACAAGGAACGTAGACAGACAATATCCGAGGAGATGCTTGGATGCCTCGATTGCCATCAGACCTGTGCTGAAGCGATATCAGTCCGTTGTCTTGACCTCTGGTACCATTTCGCCTCTGGAAATGTATCCAAAGAAGCCTGGCATTTTTTGTAGATGAGATAAGTATTCCATGGTATTCCCTTTGCGGAGAGCGAAGGCCCTATAGAGTCTTTTACAAGATAAAGAGCCACATATTGTGTTAAATTACCGGTATCATAAAGTGATGGACACGCACGAGTGTAACACTCGGTGGACATGCACGGCTCTTTCAAGCACATCGGTGGGTAGGACTGACTTGATCTGAACATCTATGCTTCTAATCCCCACCTCCTTTTACTAAACGTACCACAAATACTAAAAATAAGGGTCCGCATTAAATTTTGGAAATTTCCGACTGGCCAATTTGATTTTTAATTGATCCCCTTTCGAAAACAGATTAAAAAGGAAGGTCCCATTTCAGGGTGTCACCCCCTAATAATAAAAAGTAGTCAGCCCCGGGGTGTTTTTCCGGAATGCCTAGCAAGGGTTCCCGTTTCACTCTGGGGGTCTGGGGGTTGAGGGTGCGTTCGCTCGACGTTGCGCAACCGGATGCAACCGTTCGCAAAACCGCCCGCAACCGTCCGCAACCGTTCGCGTGAGGGCCCTATGGCCGTGCCTATGGCGAGTTCTGCAAAAGTGGTCACTCTTGGAGGTTTCGGACGTAGTAGCCTCGTTTCGCGTGGCAGGCGTGGCACTTGTGACATTCCAACATGTTTCATAACGTGTCAAAAGTCGTTTTGTGTGGCGGGGCAATACTTTTGCGCCGTTTTCAGACGATGAGTTGCACTTTTCGTGGCAGGCGCAGCACTTTGGCGACCTCCATCGTCATTTCCCACAGCAATTCAGAAGTGTCTTGTTGCGTGTTTTTTGCGAATCGCATTGTCAGGGTTAGGTTGCAAATCACACAGGCCTTAGGGGGAATCAAAGATCGTGTCTTGCAGCGTTTGTTTCATCATCCTTTTCTATGTTGTGCTGTTATTAGTGGCAGGCAGGTTATATTTGTGAATAGTATATAGCAAAAGGCGCGGTGACCGTGGCTCACATGGTTTCAGTGGTGCACTCATAGCTTTGCAACATTGGAACATATCATGGAGCTAGCAATGTGCAAGCAATTTTCTTTGCTTTGACCGGGTTCATAGCATTATTAGGGAGTTGTGCAGGGTTCGTTTTGCAATTTTATTGGGCATCTGATTTCCGGCCTAGGCCACAGAAAATCAAATTTCTTTAGTTTGATGGGAAAATTATTAGTGGGGCTCATGTCGGACAATGTTCGGTTGCAAGCATGGCAATTGCATAATTTGCTGAGGGCCTTTGTCCAGAATGGTGTGGCGCATCCTGGAAATTTGCAAGTGGGGTTGGCCATCGAGAAATCACAGGAGCTGATTGAGGTGTTGTTGAATCATGATTTGAACCTTGATCAGTTTAAGCGTCGAAAGCCGAAATCTTCGAAGACCGTCAGGCAATTTCAGAATCGCGTTGCGAAGGTTCAAGCTAAGTGTAGGAAGTTGCAGGCGGAGAGAGATTTGATCAAGGGTCAAAAGTTGGCTGGGCGAGTGCAGCATGTTTGGTGCATCAGGGCAGGCCTGGCTCCACCCAATATTCCGCCACAGTCCTTGAGTGAGTTGTCCAAGGATTTCGGACTAGTTGAAGACAAAGTCTTGTCCAGGACGTATGTGACACAAGTACGAGATGCATTTGCAGAAATTATAAAGAGAGGCAACCTGGCAGAGCTGGGGTTGGAGGCCTCAAAAGTTTTGAGATCTTCGCTTGGAACATTGCAGGCCATTATTGCGTCGCATCTGCATGATGAAGCTGCGTTGAAGCTTCGGTCTTATATGACTCTGATATCATGGGACGAACCTTGAGAGCGAGATATTCGAAGGTACAAAACGAAGTGGTGCATATAAGGTTCCCAACAGGCAGTACTTTGGATTTATTTTCAGAACCGAAACCAGTTCTAAAAAAGGATTCCGACACGATTGCGCAGTCCCTGGTCAATACAGCGAAGGATCTCCTATCTGCATGTTTGCAGCAAGAGTCACAGGCATGGGAGGCATTGAGGATAATCTACATTCTCACTGGCGATGGGGTCAACACAAATCTTGCATCTGCGCGGAAGATGTATTTTTTCTTTTTGCAGAATAGATATATCAAGGGTATGAGACTGGACTTCTGCCTCTGGAATGTGCGATGTGCATCTCACGTGGCAAATCTTGTCGTCTTGGTTGCTTTGGTAGGAGAAATTATTCCGTCCCCATGCGACAACTCAGACTTGTGTGCAAATTTGGTACGCTGGTACAAATATATCGTTCCAAGTTATGTCGAAGAGCTGAACTCGTCCTTGCGAACGTTTGTTTTGAGCCGCTTTTGTGTACGCGTGGGTGATCCTGATGATGTCAACGTTCCAGAGCCCAATCTTCGTCAGTGGTTCCTGGGTTTGCAGAGGCTTTATTGGCCAGATACTGTTCCAGAAGAGTTGCTGCAGGTGTTTAACCGAGGCCTTGGGGTTTGGTTGCACGTTTCTGCTGAGGATGGGGACCAACAGCTTTGTGTCCAGAGAGCTTTTCGCTTGGTCTCGCATTTAGTGCTTTTCTTGCAAGAAAGACCGCAGCCGACAAGGTTTTGGCATTTTGCCGCATGCACCAGAGCCCTTCTACGGATGCGGCTGATTGGTATCACAAAAGGGACCCTGACTGTTGCTACCACCAGTCCTTCAGCAGAAAATGCTGACCGCATCAGCAAATTTTGGCACTATTATGACTCTGCAGGCACGGAACAGAAACTTCGCACTGCTGTGCTGTGCTTGTCTTTGACGGAGCATGCTTTGAATATTTCTTCTTCAAAAATGAAAGAGCCAGGCCGGGAGCCAACACTAGTTCGCCTTGCAAAAGGTGAAGTGCAAGAAAAGACTTTGGACCAGCTGGATACGATCCTGGGGCTTTTGCATCTTGATGCTTCTGTAGACATAGTCGATACAACCGTTTCCTTGCTTGTCACAGAAGTCCATTTGCTTGTCAGATACGATGAATATTTTCAATTTCCTTACCGGGCCTACGAGTTAACAAAGAAATTCAACCCTTTGGGGCATGTGGCTTGTATAGAGTCATTTTTAGACCTCCCACCAACGGCCCTTGATGTTGGCTACAGCGTGAAGTTGCAGCAAGAGGCTTGGCAACAAGGTCCAGCAGGAGGCCCTGAGTTGTCATCTGCTATTGCCTTCTTGCTCCGCGATGACATCCAGATGGAGATGACAAATGCCCTGGAACACGCGTCTGCATCTTCTCTTGACGTGGAGCGCTCCCATGTGCAGATGAAGCGGAACGAACAGAACAAGGTTCTGAGTGTTGCAGTGCCCGCCCGCAACCGGATGGCAGGAGAAGGGTCTTTACGTGCTGTGCTGTTTAAGAAAGGACAATGCAGTCAAAAAAATATGCTCAGGATTAGATGCTAAATTTTCATCCTCCTGCCAATTTCCACTACTAAATGCTATGACCTAGGTCCCGGAAAGTGAACCAAAAATTTAGTGTGAAATTTCTAGAAACCATTTAGTAGAGAATCATGATTTTTCAAAAAAAAATCAAGTAAACATCTCTAGACCCATGATCCACATTTAGTAGAGAGGTAAAAATGATATGTTAATCATATGATGTCAAATGCTGTTTTTTGGGTAAAACCATTGAGTAGAGATGTCAAAAACATGTTGCAAAATCACAGGAACCATTTTGTAGAGGTTGCGAAGTAGAGTTCATAAAATGGTCACAATGAAATGAGACAAAACTGAAAAACCATTTAGTAGAGATTCCCATTCCGTTGCCCCCGATAGCCGTTTGGCCAATCCATGTCCATCAGGATGAATCACGTCAATCCAGATAGTATATGATAATAGATGCGCAAAAAAATAAGAAACTTGAAAAATAAATATAAATTCTAGAATGCCAATGAATATTAAAGATATTCCTGGGTTGAAGTAAATCAACATGATCGGGTATACCGCGATATGAAACAACAGAAGTTGGACAAAGATAGCATCCTTGCGGTATCCTGCCATGCCGCCTCCAGTCTAGCCAAGTGCTGCCTCTACTAACTGGATGGTCATGGGATCCGTCTATCTAGAACTGTTTCAAACAAAGCCCTGTTGCATCCTTGTGTGCCCTATGATCCCTTACGTGCTATGGAACACCATTTTGTAGTCCCAAAATGTCCAAATTCTATCAAGATTTCCCCTGTCTAGCCAAGTGCTGCCTTGCCTTTTTTGGGGGCGATGCCAAATCCCTCGCTTGGGTGTTTCTTGCTCGTCGGGTGCTGCCTTTCGTGCTTGGGTTCTTTTTTGGCCTTTTTTGGGGGCGATGCCAAATCCCTCGCTTGGGTGTTTCTTGCTCGTCGGGTGCTGCCTTTCGTGCTTGGGTTCTTTTGTTGCCTTTTTTGGGGGCGATGCCAAATCCCTCGCTTGGGTGTTTCTTGCTCGTCGGGTGCTGCCTTTCGTGTTGGTTTTTTTTTTGCGTTTTTTGGGGGGCGGCCAAATCCCTCGCTTGGGTGTTTCTTGCTCGTCGGGTGCTTACTAAATGGATGGTCATGGGATCAGTCTATCTAGAACTGTTTCAAACAAAGCCCTGTTGCATCCTTGTGTGCCCTGATGTGCCCTGTTATCCCTTACGTGCTATGGAACACCATTTTGTAGTCCCAAAATGTCCGAAATCTGTCAAGATTTCCCCTGTCTAGCCAAGTGCTGCCTTGCCTTTTTTGGGGGCGATGCCAAATCCCTCGCTTGAGTGTTTCTTGCTCGTCGGGTGCTGCCTTTCGTGTTGGTTTTTTTTCTTGCATTTTTTGGGGGCGGCCATGTTGACTTTCACAATTCCCTGTGCTTAAGGACCCGCACTGTCCTTAAGGGCCGGGTGTGTGCGCAAAGAGGTGTTTGGAAGTCAAAACTAGATTAGACTGGGATTGGATACATCCACCATGCGAGGGTGTAGCTGCATAGCTCAAGATGACCCAGCAACTTTGGAGTGACCAGCTGAAAACGCAAACAACAACAACAACAACAAAATAGTATGATTTGCATGCAGAAAACTGCAAATCAAT